ATCCCCCCTCCCCCTGCCACAGCCAGCCCGTGCCCTGCCCAGCACCCCTCCTGTCCCACCCCTCTGTGCCAGCCAGTGCCCTGCCGGAAGCTGGCTCGGAGCCGGTGCTGCTCGCTGCTGTGTCTTGGCAGGCAGAGCCCAGTCACTGCGCAGCTATTCAGGAGTGGCGGCTCCCATGGCTCCTTTGTCAACATGGCCAAGACCCCTCGCATTCCTCTGGCTTGGCAGGGAGGCCCGGCCCCAGGGAACTACAGGGGAAGCTCCCCTGGTCCCTCCGCCAGCCCCAGCTCCGGCCCCGCCACGGCTTGGCGGCAGATGGCACAGGGGGCTAGAGCAGAGGGGCTGGGAGCCAGAACATCTGAGTTCTCTCCCCAGCTCTGTGTGAGGAGTGAGGTCCAGTGGTTGGAGCTGGGGGTGCTGGGAGCCAGACTGCCCTGGGCAGTGGGGTCTAGAGCTTAGGGGGGAAGGGAGCTTTGATCCAGGACTCCTGGGTTCTGTCCCTGGCTCAGGCCTGCTGGCGGGTGCACGTTGGGAAGTCATTTCCTCTTGCCTCAGTTTCCCCATCGATCTTGTTCCCTTGTTTCCTAAAGTGCCATTCGCACCGTCATGCCTCCCCAGGGAGCTGCAGCCCAGCCTGCCGACTCGAGCTGAGACCCAGGGACACTTGCCCCTAAGCCTGCAGAAGCCGGGCCAGGACACTACCTGGGAAGGATGGGCCAGGGCTTAGAGCGCTGATCTGGAGCTTGATTTCCAGCTGTCAAATGGGCATGGGTCATGAGTTCCACAACAGGGCTGGGTAGGCACCTCCAGGTTTGAACCTGCGGCCTCTGGATCTTAGACCACGAACCTGTGTTTGTAAGTGAAGTGTCTACCACTGCTGCGTGTCTCCCAGCGGCCACTGGGGGGAGACAAAGCGCCACCGTGCACCCCAAACCTGCCCTCTACCCTGCCACGGGTTGCCCCTCCCTAAACCGGGACTCTGGGTCCGGCAGAATCCGTGGTCCTGGGTCCTGCCCAGGGGTAGAGAGGTCTGGTGGTGAAGCTGAGAGCGCAGCAGGGGAGCTGGCGACATGACGGGAGCCCCGTGGTGAGACCCGGGGGATGGCGGGCGGCGCAGCTGGGGACTGGGGAGCTCTGTCCGCAGGGTGCCCCAGCTGGGCCGGCAGCAGGAGGCCTGGTGCTGGAGTCTGAGCCCGGCGGGAGGCCGGCAGTCGAAAGGGGCTGGGATGCCAATGGCAGGGGACCTCCCCTGGACCGGTAAATCCCTGGTTCTGGACCGGTCAGGTTCCCAGGGTGTGGGTCAGGAAGGTCCAACCTTTAGGTACCACACTAAGGTGGGGATGGGACCCAGCCCCTGCGCTAACCACTAGACCACACTTTGCTCCCAGAGCTGGGGCTGGGACCCAGGAGTCCTGCGGTGACGCACGTGGGAATTCTGCATTTCTGTGCCCTCCGTGTGACCCTGCCCATCCCCTGGGCAGCA